AGTCGCAGCACTCCTGGGATAGGATGGGGCCTAGCAGGTTGCGAGTACAGTAGGAAAGTTCGTCAGTAAGAGTCAAGGAAGTTGAGAAGCCGGTGGAGCTAGAGGGCAGGGGTATGTGCAGGGATTCTCATGACCCCGGACTAGGGACAATAAGGCCACAGCTTCCAGTCAGCAGGGCTAGAAGTTGTACTAAAAGAAAGTTAGATCCCGCAAGAGGGCGTGAAGAGGACAACAACGATATCGAGAGGCAACCGTGGAAGATGAAGCTGCAAGACGATGGTCCTGTATAATACCAATTGATGATTCCAAACCGACTCCAAGACGACCAAGAGTGGCGCAGGCTTCAAGAGTGTATCGACAAGGGGCTCGATCGGGCCACTGGACCGTCCAGTCGGGCTGCACAACAGCAACTCGACGGAGGTGGCTTGTCTCATCCTCTGAAGAAACAAGAGGCGACGAGGGACGTGTGGATGGACGGGCGGGCTAGTGAGTCGACGAGGTCGAAATTCAGTGTGTCGACTCAAACTGAGCCACGTTAGACCCGTCTGGGGTTGACAAAACTTCCGACGACAGCGGATTCAAGCTATAGACACGCCACATCTGTTGACCGACACCCAGACCTTGGGTGCGATAAGTTGATGCCTCACCTCGGCCGTTCTTCTCGACACACCCCTTAAAATCGACCTGCACGCCCCTACCAACCCCGGAAGAGGGACAATACCCTCTAGAGTCGAGACAGGCCAGGGTATAGCAGATGCAGTATGCTATTTTTCACAACAGTTGAAACCACTAAAGCCCGGATGTTAAGGCTAATTGCTCGATCAAGTCAATTCAGGAACCGAACCGAGTTGCAGCGGGATCGCCTACCGCCTGAGCGCAGACCTCTCGATATAACTGCACTCACGGCAATATGGCAATATCGTACATATGTCAAAGACCTCGTCCTCTGATCCCCCGCATGAGGGGCATTTAGATGGCGAGATGCCAGAAGTTTTGTCACGATCGTACGGCGGTTGTCCCTTAAGGAGCTTGACGGAAGATTTGATCAGTTTTCTTTTGGGTAGCAAAGTCGGCGACAGCCGTATAGGCGAAGCGGCAGCTTCTCACGGCAATGTCGGTATTTCTTCTTGAATGATAGGTCATCCGCAGACTGGTGGCTCAGCATGCATCTTGCTTGGGACAAAGCAACACCATTCGCATCGAGACAGTGGGCGATGCGCCCTGAATTCTGGGCTAAGCCAGTCGATTTCGAAAGCAGGTGTGACATTGTAGAGGCAGGGAGCGAATCACAGGCACAGTCGAGCTGTGGCATCTGTATTCTCAGGCGCTGATATAGACTGAATTATGAGTCAACCAATTTAAAGTAACTTTGAGGCTCTCGATCTCCTCCCGCTAGGGTGATGGAGGGTATATTCGACTGAGACATAGAAGCATAGCTGAGGCTGTTATTTCCTTTCTCTTGGCTGATGTTTATCCAAGTGCTGTGGTCACATTCGAGATGCGCTGGAGAGCCAAAGCAGAGGTTGCAAGCGTCGCAAGATGAGGACAAGCGCGTGTTTGAAGTTGTAAGAGAGTGGGCCACGGCAAGCCATCTGATTTGCAGCGGCAAGACAGGGGTTTTGGGGCAAGAAGCGGGACGAGTATCTTGTTCCTACCGTTTTGGCGTAGAAGCCGTTATTCAGGGTATTTGATTGGCTATCACTGATATGTCTCAGCTGCTAGCAGGGAGACCGGCGTGTCTCAGATCTGTGTCAAGACCAGGGGTATATGGATGAGGTCCACTGATACGTCGAATATGATCCACTCAAAACCCACAGGCTGATTTCGTGGCTCATGTTTAAACACCCAATGCACCCACAGCCCACTAGAAGCTCACTGGAACAAGCTCACCAACAGCGCCTTTGCGCCTAGAGAGCCACATCTTACAGGCGAGTCGGTTAGGCGAGGACCACGTCAGAGCTCAATCTGAGCACATTTACGGATAGATAGGTAGGTAGATGGTGGATTTCAATTAATTGTTGTGGATCATTCAGGCTATGAATAGCAGATGGCGTTCACTTTCTCTTAGACAAGAGCATCTCCAAACAGCCGGTCCTTTCATCTTGACAGTCTATCGCTCAGTCCGCAATCGATCTCGATTTGTTTTCATCTCTAATGTTTTAGTCGATTCTTCATCTCTCAGCTCAGCTACTAAATTTGGTACACCTGAAGATCCGTTCCTACCAGAATCGATACGCCTGAACATCGAACGACACCACGATTCCTTCATAGAAGGGGATTCCGCTACTATCACGATTAGTGCAGAAACCCCCCATCTTCAAGCCTTCAGATCATCTTCCCATCTCACAGCAAGTGCCGGATCCTCTCTAGGGGTCAGGGAATAGCCTAGTTGATACTGTTACATCGCGTTGAGACTCCGTTGTTTTCCTTTGCATCCATATCATCCGACCAGTGCTTCCCTCGTCTCATATCCTTAGCTAGGTATGTAGGGAGGGACCTTCTGTAGAGTCTCATTCGCATATTCACTTTTACACGCAACAATTTATTCCAGCGCAACGCGTCATCTATTTGTCAGTGTGTTATGAGCTGTTTCTTGCGTTTTCCGTGCCTGAGCCGGTTCCTGAGCCTGGAGCTATGATGGCTCTCCACAGTGAGCACGGTGGTTTCTTCCATAGACTTGGGTTGACGCCCGACAGCCTGGAACATAAACGAGGCTGTCAATTGACGTGATAACAATAGACTTGCATAATCGTTTATAAACGCGTCAATGCTCAAGCTGTTGAAGGTTTGTTTAGGTGCTCAGATAGTGACGATATCGTGATCTTGATCTTGATGGAATGTGCTGCACCCTGCGGCCGTCAACCTCAGGACGGCTAGAGGGTGCTCTGTCCGTTTCCGCTTCGAGATAAGCTGTATCGTAAACAGGAAGTTGCAGGATAATCTGCCGTGCACTAACTCCAACAGATTTTCTTTGCTCATCTTCTTCAAGCGTTCCATAATTCTTCTATGGGTCGCCCGGTAAGGCCGTTTTGTGGCCAGGGTCTCATACATCCGTTCCTGAATCACTGCTCAAATGGGAAATTACACCACCACCTTTTGGGAGTGAGCATGATTCAGGCCTTGTCGATTCCCTCAAAATGGACAACATGAACCAATTGCGACACTTTAATCTCCCCGCAATGAGCTTCTTTCATTTTCTTGTTACGTTACATACCTAGCACCCTGGAAAGATAACTTCTGGAAGGCCTCTGCCCTCTGAATCTGTCACAACGTTTCCGTCTTTCCCCCAGCGCTTGGAGATTCTGGAAATAGAACAGCAGAAACATCGCCCACAACGGGTCCGATCCCCTTAAAACATTAATATATTTAACAAACTCTCAGGGAAACGTTAATGATATCGTATCCCGGTCATAGCCCTATCATGCCGAACCGGTCATCCGTTCCTTACCTTAGCTCGTGCTGTTGGCTGTTGCTTGCGCGATGCAACAGTTACTCCTTGTTGATCCTCTTCCACACTTCATGCTCGGCTGCAGCAAGACTCTCGCCTGCAGCCGAAGCCCACTTCTTGGCGGCCGACCAGACTCCCTCCTCATTGTCGTCTCCTATCAGAGATGGCCTGCGCTCCTGGGCGACTGATGCTTCGTGAGCCGCACGCTGGGCACTGGAGAACTCGGACGCGTGCACGTTTTGGTGATAACCAGGTGGATGAGAAAAGTCGCTTCCGGAGCCTCCGCCTGGCACGCCCGTTGGGCCCAAGCCAGCCATCGGGGACGGGCCAGGAACAGGAGCTGCAGTCGTCGCTGAACGAGTAGCGGCGAACTCAGACCCACTGGATATAGGCGCATAGGGCACTTGTGCTGGTGTAAACTGTGTCTGTGTCTCGCGTACAGTCTCACCGGCCTTTGGAGGTGGTGGTAAATACGCTCTGTTTTGCGGCTCCGGTACAGCTCCCGGTTGCGGGGCCGGAGGACTCGAATCTACTACTGCCCGTGTTGGAGTTGGCTGGATGTTGGCGGAAGGTTGAGGTGCGCCAGTCGGAGCTGGCATAGACGGGCGAGCGCCTGGCTGAGCTGCCGGGTAGGTGGACGTCGGCACTTGATTGCTCGCAGGTACTTCGGCTGGCGCCACTGGGTCATCTGAGTGCGCCGTCTTTGGGGTGATTCCTGACGCCTTTGCTGCCGTGATAGGGCTTGAGGTGTGAATAGGAATTGGAGGCATGTTGGCGAGCCCTGGACGTTGATCCTGTTTGGAGGTGTATGGTTGACTCTCGTGCGTTCCGAGCGTTTGTGTTCTTCCAAGGTGAGATTTGGCTTTAGCCCAAGCTTTTGAATTTTGTGAAGTACTTGTCCTAAAACATTGAGTGTGATGAGATGTTGTCTGAATAAGAGGTGGCGATGGATGCCAACTACGTCATGTGATCTGCTTTAGGTGCCTAGCACGCGGTTACCTGCAGTCAGCGGGGAAATGCCGATCAGATTCCCGTCGATAGTTCCGTGTCTTTTTCCTATTTCCAAATGCGGAATACGAGAATTGATTCTTAGACAAACGGTACCTATTCTCAACTTGGATTTCGCGATAGAGTGACGTAAGACTCTTATTGGATACACAACTACCCTAAGGTTGCACGGTGTTGGGACTTTTTTTCTTCCTCTTTATGGACCTCCCAGAGCAAGAAAACATCAGACCCTGATATGGGGTATTGAAATAGACTCCGCAGAAGGTATCCTAAACTTGTACTAAGTTGCCTGAGTATTTTTTGTTGGATGAATGATGGAAGTTGATTTGAGGATAACACTTTTCGGCGATAAGAAATGGAAAGATGGCTCATTTTAGGAGAAACGGACAATCTAGCTTAATGATGTATTCATGAGCTCGTGAAGTGTTGTGAGCTTTGGATATGACTACCTATTCTATATGAAACTCTGTACATATAACCAGTTAAGAGCATGATCTGCCTTGTCATCTGCTACATACTTCTTTCCAGCCACCCAAGAAACAGTCTAGTTCTCGGATGACTTGTAAGGACAACCCGCGAACGCTTTCGTCTTGACAACCTCTTCGAAACTCTTCGTCTCTTCAATACCCTTGCCAACAACCTTCTCAGGACCCAAATCCTCAAAAAGGAAACCTTCAGACTTCATACTAGGGCCGCCATCACCGGGAAGTAACCCACCAGATAGCCATGTGATAATTGCTTCGGGGTTCCAACGTTGCCAGAAAGTGGGAGGAACATAGAACGGCTCTTTCATGTAATGATATGACTTGATGCGTCCGGTCTGCTCGTCAGGATCGGAGAGGTATATGGAGGGTGCTAAGCGAGGGAGACAGAGATAGCGGACGATGAGTTTTCGAACAAGCAAGAGACTGTAAGTCAGAACTGTCATAGCCAAACCTGGTTCTGGGAAACTGTTATCATGTAAATATCTGGTCGCAGAAATGGAAATGGTATGAACCGAAGACTTACCCAAATGCTCGTCTCAAGCGAGGTCCCATAAGAACACAAGCTGCCGGGTATCCAAGGGGAGAAGCAATCTTGGGATACGAATCCAGCAGCATCTCCATGAGAACATGGCCTAGTTTCTGGATTTCTGGTGTAGGCCGCAAATATTTGTCCTCGTAGTCTCCTCCAAAGCGTGTCATGTCCTCGAAGAATTCGAGACCATCCGCCCACTCATTCTTCCCGAGCACAGTCCTGTAGTCGATATCCATCATGTCTGCGACATACTTCCACAGAGTTGACAGGCTAGCAACTTCCATATCAGTGAGTTTCCGGTACTCATAGATGTTGAGGAACCGAACAGGCTCAGCAAAAGAGGCGTAAAGCACATAAAGCAGATCATCCTGCTTGATCTTGCCACTCTTGATATATGGAGCGTGAAGAAAGTTTGTGCGCGCAACCGCTTTATGGAGAACAGGCGACGTAGGAGGGAAGTTTGCGAAACTGTCGTCATATCAGTCTTCATAAATCGAGCAATGAAGTCCAAGGAAACTCACCAGACATAGACGGCTTCAGTATCTGCATATCTAGTACTAGTTAGTAGAAGTCACAAGATCCCCAGACACTCATTTCGGTACCTTTTGGGTGCCTTCTTTCGATTAGCTAGATCGCTGCCGCCATAGAGAACATGAGCGACGGTTTGAACAGCATATGTCTATGTATTGACGTCGTTAACATCCATACAAGCTTTAAATGTTGACACTAACTCGGCAACTAGTAGTTAGTTAAACATACCTCAAACAGAGCCAATCGAACCGCAAGGTCATAGAATAACGGGAACTCGAATCTAGCGATATTCTGAACAACTTGAAATGCATCTTGATTTGTCATGCGACTCAACGAGGTACGGTCGTGAAACCTCAACTTGGATCGAAGCGAATTAATTCTGGAGAAGCGCAAAAGAGAACAGAGTACAACGTAACCAAGAAGGGCACCAAGAATGATTGGACCCGACCAAGAAGTGGGTGCAAAACTGGTCAACAACTCTGATTGAAGGCTCTCAGAAGCTGAGGCCTTCAAACTTGGCTTTGCTGCATCCATGGCTGTGCTGATGAACTCCTACAGAGTAACAGAGAAGGGGGAAACAGCGCAAGAGACAAAGGAGAAGCAAGATCTACGAGAGCCAGGAAAGGAATGTGTACATATTTATGGAACCCTTGTACGAAGTGCGGCCTTCAACCCGAGTTGGGAGTGCTTTGAACGTGCTAGATCCATGATGCAGAACCCCACTGGCCCTATCAGATGAGGGGCGTTGGCAATGGCTTTTGACAGACACCAAAAGTTGCAAGTAGCTAATGTGCCAATGGTGTGAGACACGGGAGTTTCTGAGGCTGACGCAACTATTCCGAAGTCTAGAAATAGCGTTTGCTACAGTATAGGTAGTTACCTATGTATGTATGCAGCTGAGGCGGATAAGCTGACAACCTTACAACTTAAATTTGCAGCAGTTTGACAAGCCCCATAGGTACATTTCTTTCTACGTTCACTTACTGGCGGCTGGTCGGAAGTGAGGAGAAAATAGATATCCAATAGCAATAGCAGAAGGGGAACAGCAGCGTTGACTAGGAACCTTTCAGTAGTGATCTCCGACATTTGCACATGCCAATATCGCCTCTAGTATTTGGATGATTGCTCGTGTAACTCCAGGTCGAACAAAACCTTCATCATCATGGGATAAACAAGTGACTGAAATAATAGGGTATCATCAGCACTATATAGGTACGGATATAGAGGTTAAGATATAATACCTCCGTCGCCGATTCAAGCTGTACTCCGTAACTCTATCGAATAGCCTCTTGTGGGGAAGAGACGCTAGACGGACCCAATCGCCAATGCATGTTCGAGGTCCCGGGTCATCAAAAGTCCGGGTAGTTTGCGCTAAACCCATTTCGCTGCCGCGATTCAGACCATGAATGCGCTCTTGGTGTTTTTGAGAGCTTGTTGAGCGCGCGCTGGAAGCTTCTTCAATCAACTCACTATTGATGTGAGCTTGCTCAGAGCTATTGCCACCGCAACACTAGAAAGGCCAAGGCCAAACCATCAATATGGTTGGAAAAGTCAGCGAAAGAGTCCTCCTGCGGGAAGGTATGTTTCATTAACACTTGTCGATAGCCACTCGGCTGTCGTTCTAGACACATGTACTGACAGATTGCCTTAGGTCTTGAGAGAACTGACAATGGCATGAAGCTGACGACATGGCCTGATGTCACCCCAATCAACCAGAAAAACTATTATACGTACGATGACCCTTTCGAATAAGCGGCGTTTATGCTGATGCTTTGTTAGTGATTACATGAAGCGCGATGACCAAATCCTCGCTCTCCGCCTCCAGAGCGATGCCACCCGAGACCGACTAGTACAAAGTGCTCGGGACCGAGATCGCGCTCTATCCAAGACTGCCAATGGAGAGCTACCACTTCCTGTCGCAGATCTTCCAGACGAAGATGGTGCTACAACACCATCGGCTGGACTGGATCCCTCAAGGGTCATTGTGATCCATCCCGGCAGTCAAAATCTTCGAATAGGCTTTGCGAGCGATGCCCTCCCCAAGACAATTCCGATGACGCTGGCGACCAAGTTTCCCCAGACCGAATCCGAGATGTACGAGGCCTTACCACGACGACAGTTCGAGGCCAAGACCCCCGACCAACAGTACGGCGAAGAGTGGTCAAAGAAATACAACAAGATGTGCAATGACCTCAAGGTCGAGATGAGAGCCAATAAGCGCAAAGTCTTGCCCAACTCGAAGGAACTTGTTCAGACTTTCAACCGCCGCACGGAACCCGAAGTTATCCAGAAGCACAATGACCCCCTTGAGATCGAATGGACTGATATCGAAACGCTCGATGATCCCGACTCATTAGCTTCGTGTTTTATTGGACACCAAGCGGAGCGTGTTCCCGACGACTCGAATCCCAAATTCAAACTTTGGTGGCCTATACAACATGGACAGTGGAATGAGGATGGGTACACAAGTCAGGAGCATATGTATGATGATTTTGAAACATTGCTCGATAAGGCATTGAGGCAAGAGCTTGGACTAAAGACAAACAGCGAATGGCAACAGTACAGCTGCGTGTTTGTCATTCCCGACTTGTACGACAAGAAATACGTGGAGCAAATACTGCGATCGTGCATGACCTGGTTCGAATTCTCCAGGGTGTGTTTCGTCCAGGAAGGAATGGCTGCAACTTTTGGTGCCGGATACACACAAGCCTGTGTTGTCGATGTGGGAGCTCAGAAGACGGCCGTGACCTGTGTGGAGGACGGTCTTGTCATTGAAGATTCAAGGATCAACCTGAAATACGGAGGCTACGATATCACGGATACATTCCTGAAAATGATGCTTTATGACAACTTTCCTTACCAGGACATGAACCTGCGACGACGATACGATTTCCTTCTTGCTGAAGAGCTGAAGATTAAGCACTGTACCATGTCGCAGGCGGATATCTCTGTCCAACTCTTCAACTTCCATGTCCGGGCCCCTAACCAACCAACGCGGAAATACGCCTTCAAGACATACGATGAGGTCATTCTGGCTCCGATGGGAGTGTACGACCCCGCCATCTTCGATAACAGCACCAAGCTAAGAGGACGGCGTAAGCTGGTTGAGAGGTCTTATAACGCCTACGACGTTGATATTCCAGACGATCCCACCTCTGCCGCCCAATTAGCTATTCTAGCGCTTGTCCAGCCGTCGATAACGTCCAACGCCAATGGCTTCACACTGTCACAGCCCGATATCTCAACGCCTATCAAAGAGAACAAACAATTCAACTTCCTTGGAGCGAAGGAGAGCATGACCAACGGAACCCCCATGGGTTCTCATGCCGGGTCTCCTGCGCCGGAGGGCGCTAACACGCCCCTTCCATATGTCTTTGGCAAGGACAGGGAGGGTGTAAATGGAGGTAGCCCAGCGCCCAATGGTTCTCGTGCTGGAGGCACTCCTAATCCTGGACAAACACAACCACCAGCAGGCATGTTTGTCGATGCTGCTGCCCGAACCGCCAAATCCATGGCCGCTGAGCGAGATGCCGTTTTACCGGTCGCTCCTCTCGACATTGCCATCCTCACAAGTATTCAGAACGCCGCTAAGGGCGATGAGAAGAAGCTGCGAGACTTACTTGGAAGTATCATGGTTATTGGTGGTGGCGCCAAGATTCCTCACTTTACGGTTGTCCTGGAGGAGAAGATCAAGGCCCGACGACCCGAACTCAGCGATCGGATCCTCGTAAGTCGAAGCGCGAGAGATATGGACGAACAAGTGGTCACCTGGAAGGGTGCCAGTGTGTTTGCTAAGCTGTCGACCAACGACTCATGGATTACACCTTTCGAATTCGAGAGGCTAGGTGCCAGGACTCTGCACCACAAGGTGCTCTGGGCCTGGTAAAACGGGACCTACAGGATAATGGACTAATGGAGTTGGGGCACAGGCATGGAGTATGGGTAACTTGTATCTTGTATCTTGTATCACTGGAATGCAGCATGGAGCCGATCATGAAGGCAGTCGTAGACAGAAGCTTAGTTATAGGTTGGGGATGAAAAGCTGCTAGATACATGGATGTTTATGTTTGTTTATATGGTGAACTTGACTTACACATGGAGACATGACACATATGGAGCTAGCTTGATCTTAGCGAATCGTGATTATGGTGTAACAACTTGAACGCCACGCGATATTGACTGAGGCTCACTCTTCAGCATCAGCTACAAACTTCGTGTTCCAAGACTGAATCAATCAACATCTTACGATGGTCTTTTCTCCGAGTGCGATATCGGGTGCATACATGATGCGTGCAGATTATGTAATGGCCCCGTCATTCGATCGATATCCGAGCTTCAAGCTGGAATTAGGAGGTAGTCTAGCTCCCCGGTCATCCGCCCTTATTGTTTAGCACTGTTATTGTCTGGGCAGCCCAGCTCTGGCATCCATTTCATCACATAGTCTACACCCATCGCGCTTAGAACAAACCACTACGTCAACATTCCGCGTGCCCAAATACCAGTTTTGTTTTTGTGTCTGCAATGTGATTATCCCCCCTCTTCTCCAAACAACAATCCTTCCGAAAGAACCCCGCCATGTTGCGATATCTACCATTTGCGCCGTCGACGACGCCCCTACAGGCACTGACGTACCTTCTCGGCATATCGCTCTTCTCGATCTCCTTTCTTGTCTTCTTGAACAGTTCTGTTTCTTTCGTTATCACCGACCTGATTGGGCAGAAGGAGGGCGTGGGTGATGTCGTGGGAACTCTGGGCTTCGTCGATGAGCTCGTCGCGCTCGTCGCTTGTCCAGGATGGGGTCTTGTGTCGGATCGTCTGGGTGTTAGATGGGTTGCTGTCATTGGATACGCGATAATCGGTGTCTCGCTGGCTCTGTTTGTGCAGGCGAAGACTGTATATCCCCAGTTGTTGCTGGCTCGCGTGTTGTTCGCAATCGGCGCATCTGCAGCGTGAGTTGAGACAGACAGAGTAGAGCTTACGTGAACGGGCATTGCTAACTTTGGAAGGGCCACAATGGTAACTGCGATACTCCCATCTTTGACGGACGATAGCAACAACGAGGAGGATGAAGCCCAAGCCAGAATTAAAGCTCTTCATAATGCGACTGCCCGAAGCAGCATTGCCTTCTCTGTCGAATCCGAAGCGACAATCACCCAGGAACGATACACACAGTCTATTTCTGAGCCGAGCACAACAGATACCGCCGATACTGCTGCAGGAAGACCATCCAAGCTGGCGGGATTCGTTGGACTGTTTACTGGATGCGGTGCGCTTGTCGCACTGACGCTGTTCCTCCCCCTCCCGGCGCGATTTGGCGAGAATAAAGGCACTACCCCCGCTGAAGCGGTATCGTATAGCTTCTACGTTGTTGCGGCTGTCGCATTGGCCGTGTCTATCTTTGTTGCGATCGGCCTGCGCAACATCAAAGGTGAAGAGGGTAAGGGTTGGAGAATGCTCTTCGGACTGAAGAACGAGGACGAATCAAGTGACGGAAACGGTCGTGAGCGACGTGTAAGTCCAACACAATTTGACCCGGTAGATTTTTCCTAACAAGATATAGAAGCTTGCACCGTATCTCCACCTCATGAAAGACTCAGTCTTCCTTGGCTTCGTTGATTCACGAATCGGACTTGGCTATGTTGGCGGTTTTGTTGCCCGAGCTTCAAGCGTTGCCATCTCACTCTTCATCCCTCTTTACGTCAACACGTTTTACATCAGCAACGGCTTCTGCAAAGGCTCGCCTCACGACTCGTCACCCGAACTCAAGGAGGAGTGCAGAGCTGCATACGTCCTGTCTTCCATACTTACTGGCGTAGCGCAACTAATGGGCCTCATCTGCGCTCCTATCTTCGGATACCTTGCCAGTCGAACTGGCCGCATCAACTACCCCATTGTTGTCTCGACCGTTTTTGGTATCGTAGGCTACGTCGCCCTTCCGCAACTCTCCAGTCCTGAAATCAAGGACGTAGACGGCCGGGGCGGCAGCCCCGCAATCTTCTTTATTGTTTCGCTTCTTGGTATCAGCCAGATCGGCGCAATCGTTTGCAGTCTTGGCTCTCTTGGTCGCGGAGTTCTCGCAGTTGAGCTGCCTCGAACCGCCCGCCCCGAAAGCCTGCTCCAGCCAGAGGAGTACGAATCAGCCAACGATGAGAGCCGGCCTCTCATCAGCATTACGACGGACCAAGAGTCGGTCTCTCGCATCCGCCTTAAAGGCTCTATTGCAGGCGTGTATTCTTTGTATGGTGGCTTTGCCATCTTGCTCCTTACTAAGCTAGGGGGCTTCCTCTTTGACAAACTCTCCAACGGGGCGCCTTTCTACATGATGGCCATTTTTAACGCTGTTTTGCTCGCGTTCTCTCTTGGAATGGATGCTTCGCACACATTTTCACATCGGGTGTAAGATATTGCAGCGTCTCTGTCTCCTTGTAACTAGATACGAAATTCATGAAAAGCATTGTTCTCCCCTTTCATTAGATCTTATAGGGGACACCGGTGTGGTGTCATTATCGTAGCAAAACATCACTTATTCAAAGAAGAAACTTTGATATGAGGCGCATACAAATTTATTGGGACTGCTATCCTTGAACGTACCAGATACCGGTGCTGAAAGTCGTCAAATATGTACTCCACCCCCTGGATCTCAACCCAGATTTCTAATACCTACACAATTGTTCTTCGGTCTCGCCATGATTCTCATCTCTCTTCTTGTCAGCGCTATGATCAAACTTACAGATCGAAGCCGTGGAGTGTAGATCTAACGTCGACGTTCAATACGACGACGTATCGACTCCTGGAGCTGCTTGAACTTGCAGCGAAGCTTATCTTGAAGCTCATCACGGGCATCTTTACAGGCAGCTTTGAAGTTGTCCGTGTGATACTCCATATTGAGGCAAAAACGCTCAAGGTACTGCTTGAAGATATTGTCCTCATCGCTCTCCTGGTCTTCAGGGTCGATGGGTTGGTAATACTTCATTGTGGTGGTTTGTGGTTGCTTGGCTACTAGTGGATATAGGCAGTGCTCTGAGCGTGAAATGGTGACAAGGAATAATTCTGAAATTGATTTGGTATCGTCGCAGGTTTACTGAAGTATTCTCAAGAGGTTGTTTGGCTCTGAAGTGAGTGGAGTGGAAAGATTGAAGCCCTCCAACTAAGGACGGGCTTTTATACTCAAATTCCCTAGCATAGCCTCCAATAGTTACTGAACAGCCATCTCAATATGTTCATTTGTTCGAAAACAGTTCAATACTTACAAAATAATCTGGTCGAAGGAAAAGGGGCTTAAATAAGAAAGAGCCCGTTCAAGGATGCTGAGGCTAAAGGGGCCATTAAGATGCATAATCAAGCAAAATTTTTCATTTGAACTCGTATAATAGAGCTCTATCTCAGTCCATGAAGCTTATTGGAGCTCAAACGAGCTTCAACGACCAAAAAATGAGCGAGTTACGCCTCAAGTCAAGGTCGCTCTAGCGAAGCTGACTAAGAGCTGCGAGTGCAAGCACATAGTGACTGTCACTGAACATAGACTATTTCTACTAGCTCTATAGAACATATGAGACTGTTCGAGGTGTAAGTTGGACGCAGTTCTTGCTTCAAGGCGCTTCGCAAGGTTGATTTGAATGCTGGTCCCAAGGATGGCTTCACCACACGACGTAGCTCATTGGAAAGAACAATATCTCAAGCTGTAAACAGTCCATATGTTCTTCTAAGAGAAGTCAAATCATCCTTGTGTTAGGACAATAAGTGCTCGTCGTTCGCAATATGTTAGTTACCCATATCCCTGACAGGTGCTATGTGATATATCAGATTCCGCCTACGTCCTTTATTGGCTTGCGAGCTTGTATAGTCAGCATTTATACGGTGAGAACAAAGAACTGGACAATCCCAGAGAGTTTTTGGGCTCATTTGCGCTGCAAAAGTTGAGTGCTAGTTATAGGTGTAGATAAAGGGGGTGGGTAATGTTGGCCTACGGACGGCGACAGCCAGTAAGCAAATCGAGCAATGCACAATAACGAATAAGTAGGCAGTCTGCAAGGCCTCAATACTATGTAAATATAATGTAGACTAAAGGCGCCCACGTTACCTATTGGTTGTGACCCAGGGCATTCGATTTCATATGGCGAATCACATATCAGACAACATAGAAATAAGAGCATTTCAAATGAATTTTGTACGGAAACCCTTCGAGAAGACCTAGAGGACAGAAATATTTCTGGGTGCAGCAGAGCTAGTGAGATCTGAGCTCAAATCCTCCCTATATCACGCAGCACTTTGCCAGTTGGACGCAGACCATCCAGCCAGACACAAAAACCAATGGTCAACTTATTTTTTTCATTTCAACCTGTCGAAGAACAACGAATATGGCATCCTTTCCACCCCCTTCTTATAACCGTGACGAGTTGATGGGGAAAAAGGAAAAAGGGGGGAGGGCGTGGGACATGCATGACGTTGACCCGTGTTTGCCTTATGCTGTGAGAGGGTGCAAGCAGGGGATTTTTTTGGAGGCGCTCTCTTGTGCGAGGCGCGCGGGCTTTGGCTTGGGCAATCTAGTTGCCGCCGAGGCTGGGGAAAGCAGACTGGTCGCTGGTGTTAATAGCAGCATTGCCCTTAGCAGATCCCTGAGGAGCACCGCCGCGACCGCCGCGGTTACCTCCACGGCCACGGTCACCACCACGCTCTCCGCCACGACCTCCACGGCCGCCTCGGCCTCCGCGAGCACCACCTCGGGTGCGCTCAGGCTCGACGAAGCGAGGGTCGAAGTCAATGGTTTGCTTGACCTTGCGCTCGCGCTGGCGCTGGGCCTTGCCTCCGGTAGGGGCGAAGTACTCCTCCTCCTCGTTCTCGAGGGGCTTGGCGTTGGCCCACTTCTTGTCGAGCTTGCTGCCCTCGTTGGCCTCACGGACCTTGAGACCGGAGTCGAGAGCGGCCTTCTTCTCAGCCTGCTGGGCGAGATATTCCTCGTAAGAGACCTGCTTCTCGGCCTCCTCCTCGGCGGCGGCAGCCTCAGCGGCAGCGTCCTCAGCAACGGCATCCTTTTGCTCGTCCTTAGCGATAGCTTCACCGGCCTGCTCGTCCTTAGCGATAGCTTCACCGGCCTGCTCGTCCTTAAGTTCAGCAGTACCCTCGTTAGCACCCCAGGATTGGGCAGCCTGCTTGTCAGAGCCACTATATTCGGTCAGCATGTCGAACAAGACCAGGAGATTCAGTCAAGCATACCCGTGGCCGCCGAACTTGGAAGGGTGTCGGTCATCGCGCTCACGGGCGTGTCTAGCGCCACGTCCTACAGATTATCAGCTTTTGTTCGCCATGACCAAAGTCCTCGGGCTACTCACCACCACGGACACGAGCACCGGCACCGCCTCGGGGACCATCACGAGGAGCCTCCTCAGTGGATCGGTTCTGGTTTCGGTTGCTGCCAGCACCACGATCCCGGAAAGCTGTTCCGAGTCAGTATTTTGGCTATCGACTCATTTTCCGGTGCTTAAAACTCACCACCCTCGTTACCACCAGGACCACGGCGGTTACCGCCAGCACCACCGGCCCTTACGGGAGCCTGGGGCTCGACATTACGCTTAGTAGTACGAGCAGTGTTCTTGTCAACGGTCTTGACAGGAACGACGGGCTTCTCCTCGCCGTCACTGTCGTTGCCTGTGGAGGAGTCGATATGTCAGTACGAGTGATCGTAATTGAGTTGGGCATTGGGCATCGGAGTCGATGAAGCAAGATTTGGATTTTTGTGTCTCGCGGGGAAAGCGGGGAGAGGAGGAATCGTACCGAGGTAGGCAAAAGGGTTCTGGACAGAGCGTTAGCATGATTATATGGTTGTTTGGCTATTGCGGCATCATATTTGTGGTGTTTTAGTATGAGGGGGCAGGCCGTCGCGTTAGGTTAGGGCAAACAACCTGATGGGCGATGACGAGTGAAGGGAATGAGGGGCTTGTTTTGAACAATGGGCGAGAGGATGGGCGATTTGCGACAAGAAATAGCAGAGGCGTAGAGCAGGCGAGGAGCAGCAGAAGCATATGCGACTGCTGAAGCCATCGAGAGCCAACGATCTCATACAAGAGAGTTCGATCACCGGCGTTGTGATGCAAAATTGCCAACCCAATCCAGCGCCCCAAACCAAAACTCGAGTCGAGATCGCAGGGGGTACACTGCATACAATAGAGAGGAGAAGAGAACAATAGAGATGAGCCGTACCTTTGTGACAACCGACATCTTTGGTCGTCGCCTTGGGCTTATCGCCTTCCGTCCGGGGCGTAATTCAAATCTTGAGGGCGACGAAGAGTGGTCTACGGTCGCATGACCTTGTAAGAGGAAGAGCTTTTGGTGGTTTTGTTTGGGTTTGGGTTTGGGTTTGGTTGAGTGAGGTACGTACGTAGAGACTCCAGCCAGCAGAGGGGGGGTCCGAAGCGAGTATTGGATTGTAGGAGTGGAGGGCTCAGTCAGGTTTGGCTGAGTTGAGTCGAGTCGAGTCGAGTCGAGTCAAGAGAGAGGGAGTCTCGTAAGGTTTAGGCACTGTAAGTAGGTATTTTTTGGCTTCTATTGGTGTGGTGTGACCCTCTCGACCTTTTTTTTTTTGCTCGAGACCTAATTAATGGTGCCCACGATCAAGACTCAAATCATAGTCTAATGTTACTGGTAACAAATTTAGGTACTAAGACAATTAATCATTGGACCAGCCTCTTTTTTTTTTTTCTCTTCCCACTCCCGCTCCGTCTGCCTCTTGTATTTTACCTGATCTAACTACGGGACGTTACCTACTGACAACTCTCTTCAAGTACATACATACAGCGCACAACATGCCCTGAGGCAGCTGTTATTACTGGTCATCAGGTGGGACGCTGAGGGAACTCTGACGCACACGCAAAGCGCTAGAAACCTTGTCCTCGCTTAACGATTTGTTGCAATTAAATTTGAATTTTGTGAGTGGAATTTAGGGCATGAAAATGGGGTACTTTTGACAACTGGATTGGATCTTCAGAGCTACCTAGCACAGGCCAATTAACCCCGCGGTTGAGGTGAGCTCCAAAGAATGATGATGGATGCTGCCAATGTGGACGACTATAGATCTATGATATGTGTATACATGCCCGTGATTACAGCCATTTGATTAACTCAATTACTCGATAATAATTCTATCACAAACCCAATGCATGAGACTCTAAATCCAGCAGAGTTCAACGATGCTTCAAAGACTTAACTCACCTGCCTCTCTCTACCTACCTTGCAATTACCCCGCCAGAGCTTGGCCTTAGCTGGGTACGGCTGGGCTTCTTTGGCTGGTGGAAACCTCCATTCCCCTCCTCAGAGTCAATGTGATCACGTTCCTCAACAGAGTCAGTCATTTATTGAATTTATCACAAAAACTTCAGTCTCCTCAATACAACGCTCACGTTATCAGTCTCAAGCTTAATTGAATACCAAAGTCCCTTGTTCCGTAACCGTTCTTATGGCGCCCAGTAAGATCTCGCTTAGCTCCGTGCCTCGGCCGTCCGCTTCCGCTTCCGGTGCCGAACCGATAGGAACGCTCTCATGATTAGTTACGTACCTCATCCGTCTCGGGCTTTGTCCTGATGATCACGACATTTCATTGGTTTGCCGAAACTGTAGTTCTCTCCCTCTTGGCGATCACCAAGCTCAGAGGTTCACCCTGTACGGAGTATAGCTTCTTCATAATGCTCTGCTAGTCCGATTTCGCTGAGAACTCGAGGATGTAAACAGACTTCTCTTAAAACTTATACATAATTCGCATGTGAATAGGGTCCTGCTTCGCTAACACATACTGCCGTGTAACAATCCTCTATCGTCCTGTAAAGAACCGTCTCAACTCAGACCCAACCTTGCCTCCCCATTCTCCACCCTCAGATTGTCCCGGCTTCATCTTCGCGATGCCCTCCTCAGTCACGCTTGCATCTATTCTCCTCAACCTTCTCACCTCCTGATTCTGTGTCGATCTCGTCGTCGCGGGCTGGTAACGGTCAAGATACTCTGATGATTGTGGAGTAGCATGCACAGTTCGTTGCGAGTGCGACGTGAGCTGTGCGGGCAAGGGGCTAGCCGTCCTGATGTTTGACAAAGGAAGCGGATACGGCGTCCGCAGTACCTGATCTGGATATTCTGGAGGCGTTCTGTATGCCGATGACTCTGCCTCTGAACGATTGGCCTCTGCGCGACGTGACGGAGCGAGTCGAGACGATGGTCGTTTCAAGGGCTCTACGCTGACCCAGCTGACAGCTTGTTTGTGCCGCACTTCAGACCGGTCATTCATGTCGGGAAAGTCGTGCTCTGGAATATTCTGGGTGCTGCGACTGCGAGACGGAGAAGAGGGTGGGGTTTTAGGCAGAGTTGTTGATGGTTGGCGTGGAGGACGATGTTCTGGTGTTCGACTCCTCACAGGCGATTCCGAGGGACAGACAGAACAAGGAGCTGAATGCTGTTTTCTCAGATCGTGGGGAGGCTGAAGGTATGTATCGGCGGCAGTTGACCTGCGCTGGCGCTCGTGGATAGTGGGACTCGGCGGCCGTTGCATGAACAACGGTATAGGCTTCAGGGGGCTTGGCTTAAAGGAAGGACCGTTGATAGGATCAAAGATGTCAACCCATATAACCGACTCGGAGTTGTCCTTGACGTCGGTTGAGACTTTGTTGACCGTAAGGTCCTCGGCCTCAACACCATATTCGCTCTTGTGAGTTCTCTGTTGGCTAGGGGAGAACTGCTGCACAAGAATATTAGTAAGAATTACAGGCGCGAAACTTGCAACTTACCTTCAAGTTCTTCTCGCTGTTTTTGGCCTCCCATCTCTTCCTGGTCAAGCCCCCATCCACTTTCTCGACTCTCCTCAGCCCCCTTTTCACAACATTATCCTCCTTAACACCATCAACCTCGACCTCTACAACACAAGCGGCACAAAGCGGGACCTCAGTCACCTCTCTCCCTCCACATCCTTCCTTTACTCGATCTTCTACCCCGCTCTCTTGGAAGAGATCGTGTACTGAAACCCCCTGGTGAATGGATCTGCTCCCGTAGAGTAGACATCCGTAATACGCTCGATGCCAGAAACACCAACTGAAACTGACACATTCATCCCCTCGGTATATGAGCTCTCCACAAACCCAGCAGATGGCTAGGTTGAGGAGCGCTGCGTGGCATGTTGCACATGCTAGACGGCCAGTACGGCCGATGACGTGAGGGGGGCCTTGAAAGACGTGGAAGCAGAACGTGCAGGTGAATATGTTGGTTTGAATATGGGTTGGCATTGTAGAAGCATAAAGGTAAAGAAATGCCTTCGATAATATGTTAGGTATTGTGATGAAAGAATGTACGAGCGAGCAACCGAAGACCAAGGCTGTAGTTTGGTGGCCCCTGGATCGTGCCCTGAAGGAGTGTCATAGCTAGGATCGGATGTTAGATATCAGGTATGGATATGAGAGTGAAAGACTACCTACCTTACCCACGGCAAGGACATAACACATCAGATTAAGGAAAGTGCAGGTCATGTCAGGGAAGAAGAACGTAACATATCAGATAGTACCTTGGGTAAGGTAACCTAGGTACGAAACAAAAGAGTCCTAGGGAGAGGGAGGCATATGTGTTAAGCTTATACACAACCCTATACAATCAAATATAATGATGAACTATTCTCATCTGAATTTTAATCTCAGAACCTGATGCATTTTGCCATAACGCCCCGTAAACCCCTTAATCCTTGAGTGACCCAAATCCTTTGTCTTGTGTGGTAAAAACAGCATGTCATTGACTTTGTCAACATAAAAAGCCAGGTAAAAACAATCTCGAAACTCCAGCTTAATCAAAGCACGCTTCATCATTAGCTTCTTGTGTCAAGCTCTGGGTGTCGGCAGAATCGAGTGACCAACATGCTACGAGACGGAGCAAATAACAGTGACCCTATAACATATGCCGTGACAACCTCCAGAATACGACAGACACATAAAGTCGTATTATACATTCAATTTTCAAAAACTTCGCAGCTGTAGCTGCACTTTGGTGGATTCCAACCATGTGGAAACTTAAGCTCGATTCTTAGGACGAGCAAGCATGTTAAGCCGACTCAAGCTGAGAACTGCACGCTTCTTGGTAGGGCTGGCAGAACCAGGGGTACGCGGTGTCGTGCTACCAAAGCGGACCTTCTTTGCGCTCGGAGTGCCGCCAACAAGACGAGGAGCTAGAAGGGCTTCGCCTTCAGGGACATGCTCGGCCTTACGCTTCTTGGCTGCACGTTCAGCACTCTTCTGCTCCTCTTCTTCCTCGTCCCAACTGGTTCGGTGTCGCTTCTTGTTGGACATGCCATGAGGCGCTCCAACCAGGATCTTGGCCGAGCCAGGTTCCTTGTTCTCCTTGTTGGGGCCAATTGGAGAAGTAGGTCCAGGGAAGCTACCAGGCATCTTTCCATTAGGCTTGAGCGACTGCCGGACTTGGCGAACACTCGACTGGCCAGGGGAGGCTCCAAAGCCTAGCACAGGAACGTCGCCAAACTCGATCGTATGGTCACTGCGGAATGTGAACTTGCCGGGGACAGACGCAGGTGCATTATCCTTCTGTTTGCTGGGAGGTTCGGGCAGGGGTCTAAAGCCACTGAGATCAGGGTATACAACATCCCCGGAGTCTGCCTTCGCAAGTGTTCCATCAATACCTTGGAACTGCTCGTCCGCCAAAGTTCGTGTTGACTGAGCCTTGAGACAAGACTTCTGCGGAGAAGGCGAGTTCTGCTCGAATGCAATTCGTGTGACCTCTGGGGTGAAAGCGACGTGCTTTGTCACCTTTCGTCGAGGAGTAGTCAACGGAAGAGGAGGCAAAGCCTTGTCCTTATCGGCCTTGGGTGGAGCAGGTGTCTGTGAGATCATGGGTTGTGGGATCGCAGTCTGGACATTGCCCGAAGGTGTTCGGTTTCCGCGCAAAATTGACTTGACTCTATCGAAGCGGCCTGGGCTAATGACTCGAGATCTAGGCGTAGTCGGCTTACCAGGCATTAGGTGGGAAGTGCTGGTGGATTTTGGCAGACCACTCTTCAGGTCGACCTTGGAAGGAGACTTGATCAGTGAAATGGTGGGTTTCCCTGTGTGAGCCAGAGACGCCTTCGTAGGGCTCATGAGTCGTGCCAGGCTTGAGCTTGAGGCGGGCAGCTTGGTTGAACCATTTCCACTAGACTTGGGTCGAGGAATCGAGGAATCATCGCGTAATGGAGGTCGATTTGTTGT